TCGTCTGTTCCGAGGACGGCTCGTATGTATTGCCCTGACTTCTTGCGGCCCATGAACCTTGTGAGCCTGCTACGCCCCCTGGCATCGACATGTCACCGAGCCTCCAACTGCCATTGCTAGATGGTGACGAGCCCCGCGGCGAGTACGAGCCACTATACCTCAAAGGCCGCCCCAGCAGACCCCGCGAGAGGAGCCTTCTCTGGCTCAAGGCCATTACGACCGCCGTCCTCGTTCTCATCGCCATCTTGGTCTTCTTCTTCCCAGACGACGCCCGACACTACCTTCACCTCCCGCCTCCCTCCTCAGGCCATCACACGCCAACCCGCGACCGCATCCAGGACATTGTCACGTCCATCATCGGCAGCGCGCCCTCGCCACCGCCAAACACGACGGCGGAGACCATCCCCAACACGGCCCATTTCGTCTACATCCTCCAAGACCCCGACGCCGACTTCCACTTTGAGTTCAGCCACTACCTCGCCATCTACGCCGCCGCGCACCACTGGCGCCCCGACACGCTCTACTTCCACACCAACGCTCGGCCGGCCGCCCTCGACCGCGCCCGCGCCGGCACGTCCGGCCGCTGGAACGCCCTGATCCTGAACCTGCCGCGCCTCACCGTTCGCGCCGTCACCGTCCCGACGCACGCCGGCAACGGCGTCGCGCTGACGGGCATGGAGCACAAGTCGGACTTTGTGCGCGTCAAGGCCGTGCACGAGCTCGGCGGCGTCTACGTCGACTGGGACGTCCACGCGCTGCGCGACCTGGCGCCCGTGGGGGGGAAAAATTTTTTGGGCCGTCGCGCGCCGGCAGAAGGAGGGCGACCTCAACAGCGGCACGTTCCTCGCCGCCAGGGGGAGCAGGCTGACGCAGCTGTGGATCGAGGGCATGAACGCCGCGTACGACGGCCAGTGGGAGACGCACAGCAACGGCGTGCTGACGGCTGTTGCGGAGCGGCTGGTGCGGGAGGAGGGCGAGGTGCTCATTGTCGAGCGGAAGGCGTTTGCGCCGGGCGGGTGGGGCACCGGGGATGTCGCGGAGCTGTTTGCGCCGCATTTCGGCGAAAAGTCGAATCTCGACGGGAAGAGGCAGGGGGACGAGCTGGGGGTGTTTGACGAGGGGCCCGGCGTTATGGGGAACAACCCGTTGTGGGCGCGCGACTGGTCTTTTACGTATCTGCTGCATGCGTTCCGCCCGGGCAGGGCGAGCAAGAACCCGTGGGGGTTTGAGGCTATAACGCCGAGATATGTGTTCGAGAGGCAGAGCAACTTTGCGAGGGCCGTGTATCCCGTGGCGAAGGACATGTATGATCGGAAGATTATCCAGCTGGATGACTCTCACGAAGGGTGAGTGTCGAGGGGCAGTGTATGAGCGTGCACAGATTGACTTATATACCCTCTTTGAATCAAGCGTGTTCTTTCAATTACTTTTGGCTTTATTTCGAGTCTTATGCTATGGTGATGAAACCTCACAGGCGATTACACCATGACCATTCAAGCTTCATGCTGATCCGGGCCGCCCCGACATCCTTACTCAACGGAAACGCCGCAACAAATCTCCATTATATTTCTTGAAGTAGAGGAAGAAGCCTAGCCCATTACCCAACTTCGTTGGAGAAAACGGTATATAAGTACACGTCGGTTCAATATCCATCTCAGCCCGCACACACGTCATCACTCCCATAAATCGTGTATAGGATTCAACTGCACGTGTGGCTGGGTAAGTACCGAGCTCGCGAATTCTCCCATGCCCTCCCCAATAACGGCGTGCGCCATATTGTGAATCGCCATGGCAAGCTGTGCCGCGTCGCATAAGTCTGACTGCTCGAGCTATGGCGTCACAGAGCTCAAAAAGAACGCAGACCGAAGAAACAGCTCGGGGGACAGGTCGATGCTCGTGAAAAGGTTAGCCGTGGGGTGAATCCCCCACGCTGTGTCTTGCCGTCTGCGTCCGCTGCCAGATGTGCGCTGACAGAGAGTTAATAACCAGGAGACGCCGTCTGTGGGCTTTGCGGTGTGCTTGAGGGTCTCTGGCTTGTGATTTTGTTGCCGAAGACAAAGGGTACAATCACCAGACTTCTGATCTTCCTTGAGACACTAATTTGTCTCGTCACTTTAACGATTGGTTTATTTGCGCTTTCACTCGCAAACAATGTTCACTTGCAGCGTGGTTGTCTCTGGTGTTGTGTTGTTCTTGAGGGTGTGCTCAGAGGTTGAGGAGCCGCTTGTTCGAAAGGAAGCGTGTCAATCTAGTCTTCCATCATGTATTGCAGACTATGTGGCTAGCAACGAGGCTCCTCCTTCTAGAAGGGTGGTGACATCTATTGTGTTGGTGGTGTCTGCCGAATGACGACAAAGGAGCCGTTGCCGCGACTTCAACTGACGGCTGAGGTGGGGACATGGAACCAACAACAGAGCGACACTTCGCTTCGGCGCTCAGTCTTGAA